CAAGCTTAATCCACATTTACTGTGCTGCTTAATTACGATAGAATAATAGCTGAAATTAAGCTGACTCCTTAATTACCTTTTTTTCATTCTGGCTGCTTTTTATGATTATTATCCCTCCTGCCTTCACAGAGAACAAAGTATATTTCCATGGTATATGACCAGCTCCCCAGGATGAAAACTCCAGGTAGCAGAGACAGTCAGGAAAGCCTTGCTCTATGGCCAAGACCACTGCAGAAGCTAGAAGTGGGCAGGTCCTCTCAAGGACCCTTGACACACAGAAAGCATCCTACCAGGAATGACAAACCAAACAGCTACTCTTAGGAGATAGGATTCACAGGGTCTTTGCAAGGTAGCTATACCAAGTGCAGTCCCATCTTCCGAAGAATGCAGTGATCATCAAGACTGTCATTCATCAACTATTGCTGAAGCTACCTGATAGAGTCACATGGAATAGGTGGGAATAGTATCTGCAGTTTGATTTCCAAAGGAAAAATCTGAGATAGTGTGGGAGGATATATAGGTTGGTGATTGGAATAATTAGATAGGAAGGGGGTCTTTTATTAATTTCCAACTTGTGCTCCTGATTCCTTGTGTGAGATTCATCCAAGTCTACAAGCTTACTATGCTTCTGTTTCCTCATCTGCACTATACGAACAGGTTCTACCTATTTGCTTTGCACGGAGAACAACCCAATACATAAATGAACATTTTGAGAGGGGAAAAAAAAAACCCTTTGTGTATGGACACAGTACATTTATTCGAAGCCACTATATGAAAAGTGAAAATAATCATTGAAGTTGGAATATTCTCAAGCACAAAATAGAATTCCCTTTTCTTATACTCAGATTTAAATTGAGTTCCATTCAACAAATGTGCAAGCAAATGTGTTAGGCATTACAGACTCAGTCACACACATCATGTGTACAATTTCTACCATCTGGTGAGGCTCATGCTCAGAGAGAAAATTTCCACTTGGCACTGGTGGGGTGTTGTTTTCTCCTGGTATAGTTTAGTTTGGGGAAAATAATGCAACACAGGTTTATTTGAAAGGATAGTTACAAAGAGCTGGACTTCCCCTTCTTTAACTATAACCCATACTTTGCTTCCATTTATATCAGTATAAATATAAGATCCAGTCCCTCTGACTCTCACATATGCACTAGAGACAGCCGTGGGAGGCAGAAACCAGACTGAACAATTGGCCTGAAATCAAAATGTGAAGAGGAAAAAAAACAACTTGCTTATATCTCTATCTTTTAAATTTAACTTTTTAATTCAGTCAATATCATCTCTCTCATTCACATAGATTCCAGGAACAGTCTTGCTTCTCTCTAGTCATCGACCTTCCAGGAGTATAATAGCTATAAATAAGTCACCATGAAATAAAAGCAAAACATGTGAGTCACTGCTGCCATTGTTTCCTAAGAGTACATGGGAATTAGTGTGAGATGATGAAGATGAATAACTATGATGATGATGTGAAGGGGGAGGGAAGAAATAAAATTTCTGTTCAAAGAAACCTTGTTCCAGTAAGTTCCAAGTACACCTCCAACTGTGTAACAGCATTTGCTTTTTTAGTTTATATGTACCCATGGGCTTCATTGGACTTAAGCTCAAAGGACCACACTCTGACAAGCATTTTTGTATCTGTGACTGGGAAGCCACACAGCAGGGACACACAAGGTCATAGTCATTGCAACATGAATTCTCAGAGCTGCCTCTTCAGGGGAGCTCAGCAACTGTCATTTACCTCATCTCTCTTTTCAGAGACAAAGAGTGATTCATTTTGATCTTTCAAACATCAGCCCTAAGCCTTTATGTCTTTTTTAAAAACTCCCTAGAACACTTTAGCTAAAATATGTCAAACTGTATAATTCAGATATAAAAGGTTCATTTGACTGTATCTGTTTGGAAATTAAGTGCCTCACAATGAAGAGTAGATACAACTAACAGAGGAAAAAAAGATTTCTCTATAATGCTCTCCACCTTCAAACTCTCTCTCAAAAACCATCCAAGTCTGTATGAATGGTTAAAGGGATGGTGGCGCAGCCATTCCATGAAATCTTCTGTAGCTAGAAACATTAATTCACAAAAAAAATCATGACTTGGGAAATGATTACAATAAAATATTAAACAAAAAACAGGATTCAAAGCTGAATATATAAAATGATGTAAATTATTAACTGTACATGTATAGGGGGAAAACGGGGCTCCATTAGTTTGCCAGCAGTGTCACGGCAAGGTACCACAGAATCGCTTAATCAACAACAATTTATTTTCTTACAGTTTTGGAGGCTGGAAGTCCAAGATCAAACTGTAGGCAAGGTTGGTTCCCTCAGAAGGCTGTGAGGGAAGAATCTATTCCAGCCCAACTTGGTGGCATTATATGACCATCTTGTCCCTCTGTCTCAAATTACCATCCCTCTCTATGCTTCTATGTCCAAATTTTCTCTTGTTATAAGGACAATAGTCATATTGGATTAAGGTCTGATTTTAAGTTACTTACCCCTTTAAAGAACCTATCTTTATGTATGGTTATATATTCTGAAGTACTAGAGGTTAGGACTTCAGCATGAATTTTTTTGGGGGGCCACAATACAGTCTAAAACAAGAGCTCAATATACAAGAGTGTTTTAGTGGTAGGATGCGGAACAATTTTCATTTTTCTCTTCAGTGTTGAGTGTTTCAAATATGAGTGTTTCAAATACTCTACAATAAGATGTGTTCTTTTCATGTTTAGAGAAAACAATGAATTATCTTTGAAACATGTTTTTGGTATTCTTGAGAGTTTCCATCAAAGCCACATTCTTAGGAATGAGTTAACTGCCAGGCATGTGTTAGGGAAGGACCCAGTCCTCACTCTGGAACCCATGACCCTCTGTGAACTCTTGGCTTGCATTCCAGAAGGCCAGGGGCCCTGCCCTTTTCTATGAATTCCCAATGGAGGAGTCAGAAGGGCAAAGCCATCCTCCAAAGTCAGATCAACCCCTCTTAATCACCACTCATACACATACCTTTCACTCAAGTTCCCTGGGCAGATATGAATTCAGGACAGATGTCACCAGTTTCCAGGAGGATTAGGACACCGTGTTCTAATTATGTCCACATAAATGCTGCTGTTGGCCAAAAACTATTCTTTCAAATGCCTGCTTAAAATATATATTTAGGTCACAAGTCAAAGGTCTGAGGCCTTGCTGATTGTGCTTTTTGGACTGATTTTGATCCACCTAATGTCCTTGGGAATGGTGGAATCCCAGTGGCTCTTGAAGGGAGAGGGAGCAGGAAAGAAGCAGGAAACCCCCCTGACCCTGTGGCAACACCTGCCATGTAACAGCAATAGAATATAAACATCAGTACTTTCCATACCCAGGAATGTGGATAACCACTTTTCAAATACTGTCTCTTTAATCCTCAGGACAACCCATGAAGGTGAATCTATGTTTTAGAAATGAGGAACTAGAGAAGATGCACAGCTAATAAGTGGCCCAGCCAGGATTGGTGCCCAGAGCCCCAGTTTATAAGCTCCCAGGACCGTAAGTCCACAAAGGCAGGAGGGCCATGTCTGTTCTACCATATCCCCAGTGAGGTCCACACTAAGTACTTGTTGAGTAATGAGAGAACAAGATCAAATTAGCTTTTTGCTGAGAGCCCATAGCACCAGGTAAAGACTTGTCAAGCATTATCCCTAATCCTTGCACTAACTTTGTAAAATTAATAGTATTGTCTTACTCCATCCAGGCTGCTATAGGAAAATGCTATCAATTTGGTAGCCTATAAACAACAGAAATTTATTTTTCACAGTTCTGGAGACTGGGAAGTCCAAGGTCAAAGCGCTGGTAGTATTCAGTATCTGGCGAGGGCCCGTCTCCTGGTTCATAAATGGTGCATTCTTGCTGTGTCCTCACATGGTGGAAGAAAAAACCAGCTCGCTGGGGCCTCTTTTATAAAGGCACTAATCCCATTCAGGAGAGTTCCCCTTCATGCCCTAATCACTTCCCAATGGCCCTACCTCCTAAGATCATCACCTTGGGGCTAAAGATTTTAACACATCAATTTTGGAGAGCCAGAAACATACAGACCAGAGCAATTATTGTCCCCATTTTAGAGTTGAGATAACTGAGGTTTAAAGAAATGAAATACATGTAAGGTTCTCAGGACTGGAAAATATAGAGCAGTATAAGATTTTCCGCCCTCACAGAATTCATAATCAAATTGAGGATAATACTCATCTGTCTCTCTCTCTCTGTGTCTGTCTACCTGGGCAGTTTATGCTAAGACCCAAATAAGGAAAATAGGCAATGTGCTCCAGAAGCTCAGCACACATGTGGATGTCACTGGGTTTGTTTTTGTTTTCGTGAAGTCCACATTCTCAGCACATTAAGTTATCACAAAGCTTTCCCTCAAGTGAAAAAGCCCAGTGCATGTGAGCACAGAATCTGGAAATCCCATGGCCATATCCACTGTGGTTGGCTGGGTGGAGGGAGAAGGGGGTAATGAAGGGTGTTCACCAGCCACAAGAAGATCCCCTTGATCCAGGGGGCTGAGTCAAGGAGGGGGCTGAGTCAATGTAGAAAGGCCCCAGGCAGCCCCTCGCCCTAGACAATGTCCCTCCCAAAAACCCTGACACTATCCAGCTCATCACACTAGACCAACCTTCTCCAAACACCCTCCTTTAACACGCAAATTCCCAGCTAGACAGGGGTGCCACATTACATTTCTGGGAGAGGATAAAGATCAGCTGCAAAACCTGGAAGACTGGAAATGAATTCATTCAACAAATGTGTATTTATTTAACTAAATATTAAAGACATAACAGAAGAACAAGGGTGAACAGGGCAAGACTTTCCGGGGCGGGGTGGGGGGGGCACTTCCATTACAGCAGGGGAGGCAGACAACGGGGTTGAGGTACAAAAAAGCGCAAAGTTCATTCTGTGGAAAGTGCTGAGGAGGAAGGAAATAGGAAGAAGGCAAGAAAAAGAAACTGGGGCAGAAACTGACAGCGAGCTCAGCAGCTCTCGGAGGAGGTGACAGGGAAGCTGAGAACTGCGGGAGAAGAAACTGGGTGGAAATAACAAATGTTCGGGCCACAGACAGCAGCAGGTACACAGACCAGGGGTGGGAAAGAGCGTGGAGCATCTAGGCCAAGGTGGCCAAAGCCTGGAGGGCTAGTGGTAGAACGGAAAGGTCAGAGGCTGCTGAGAGAGGTCACCTGGCCTCTGGGAGAGTCTGGCTTTAATTTTTTTTTTTTTGTTTTCTTTAGAGGCAAGGTCTTACAATGTGTTACCCAGACTGGTTCTGAACTCCTAGGCTCAAGCAGTCTTCCTGCCTGGCCTTCCAAATTGCTGGGACCACTACACCCAGCACCGGATTTTAACCAGAGAACAATGGGAAACCCCTGGGGGAGTTAACGCACCAGACAAGCCCCAGGGTACGCTCTAAAAAAGACCTTCTGGCTGTCCTGTGTAGACAGACTCCTAGAGAGGAAAGACACTAGGTTAGAGATGGGGGCTGGGCTCCAGTAGGGGAGTGGACAGACATGGACTTAAAATGTATTATTTTTTGTCATTACTTTCAATGGCAAAATCTGCAATTACTTATGCACCAACATAATACTCTGGAGACAGAATTGACTGGGCAATAGAAGAACTGAGTGGCAATGGTGGAAAATGGAGATGGCTCAGTTACTAGGCCAGCCTCAGGTTGAGTTGTTGCTTTTAATTATCGCTTCCAAAGATGTACTGGAGAAGATGTACTGGAGGAAGTCCTCATATGTGCTCTGCTTGCCACACCCACACAAATAAACAAATTCCTTTGACAATCTACCACTTGGTTCCACCAAGAAATTCTTGAAAATCCTTCATTTCGTGTAGGAATCTGACCCTGTAGGGCAGGGAATGTCTCTGTTTCCAGCTGAACAGGATTTCTGGGCTTAAGAGCACTTCCCACTCCCTTCCTAGCATCTGCACGGTTCTTCTGGTTGGTCCTTGAAGTGTATGATGATTTTGTAAAAGAATGCTAAAGAGGATATATGGAATATGACAATAACAAAACTAAGCAGACAGTTTAACGGCAGTGAGTATCTGGATCCAGTCACTGAGTTACCTAGTAAACACTTCTTACACCAGAACACTGGGGAGAATTAGTTTTTAAAGAAGCCCGATTTGTAACTTTTAACCAGAAAATAGATTCCCTGTTGAGCAAAGCCTGCCTTTCTGAAAACTTCCTGTCAAGAAATTTTAAAGTTGTAGACAACAAAGGGTACAATATAGAAACTATAATTGACTAAGCCGCGTAAAACGTCACAGTTAAATCTGTATTGATGATTCTGCTTAACAGCTCTCATTTTTTTCTTTTTTAGTGAGAACTGTCACCAAGAATAGCACTGTGTTTTAATTACTCTCCACAACGTCCCCACAGAAAGGATTACAGGGAAGCTCCCCTGTGCCACATGTGGACTCACACAGGTGTGGTGTCTAGCTTCCAGGATGAGCAATGCCCACGTACATTTAAAGACTATGAAGCAATGGTTAACACTTAAGAGCTGAAAGCGAGGGAAGGTGTTCTCTTTCCTGGGTCCACGAGGGGGCGGAGTTTTAAGGGCAAGAACTTCCCAGCGCCATGCCCCGCTCCCATCTCTCTCCAACCAGGAGATTTAATGGTCTCTGTATTAACTTTCGCAGGCATGGGAAAAATCAAAAAGAACTTCACTCCAGCGGAAGTTCTAAGGAACTCCTTTCATTGGCCAGAGGTCTTGGAGAAGGTGGGGTTCCTCCCAGGTTAAAAGTCCCCTTCTTCCACTACCCCTTTGGACTCTATGTTTGGCTACCCCGCCATGAACACTCCCTTCGTGGAAGCCATCTTTCTCCTGGATTTTTCCCTCTGGAGTCCCCTTCCAGACTTTCTCGTGGAAGCCTGTCTTCCCCTCCTAAACTCCATCTTTCTCTCTTTTCCCTTCCATTCAGTGTGGATGCTGCTTTCCTCTCCTGGATTCTATCTGTCTGGATTCTCTCGCCCAGCATGAGCATTAGCTGTTACGTTCTCTCTTTCTCTCTACCTGAATAAATCACTTTCTACAAACACTTCTGAGTACGGCATTTACTTTTACTGCACACTGCGCCGTGGTATCCTCTCCCATTCTTGGGGAGTGATGGACCAAGAACCTGGAGAAATGTCCTCTCAGGGGAACTGAAGCCTCCCCTGAACCCCTGAGCCCCAAAATTACAAAAGGGCTAAAGACATTCAATAACAAGAACCACATCAGTTCTATAGATTGCTAGATTTTTAATGGCAGGTTCAATGGATTAAAATTGAAAATTGTCAAAGAATTGAAAAAAATTAAAACATAGGAAATTGTAGTGTTAGACAAAGAGAGGAATAAATGCAGACAAAAATAATTGTATGCCACAAAGGCATTCGAGAAGCAGAATTAGGCCAGGAGTGGTTGGCTCACATCTGTAATCCCAGCACTTTGGGAGGCTGAAGCAGGCAGATCACTTGAGGTCAGGAGTTCTAGACCAGCCTGGCCAACATGGTGTAACCCTGTCTCTACTAAAAATACAGCAATTAGCCAAGTGTGGTGGCACATGCCTGTAGTCCCAGCTACATGGAGGCTAAGGCAGGAGAATTGCTTGAACCCAAAAGGCAGGGGTTGCAGAGAGCCGCCAGCACCATCGCACTCCAGGCTGGGTGACAGAGCAAGACTCCATCTCAGAAAAAATTAAAAAAGAAAGAAAAAAGAAGCAGAAGTAACAGGGAAGCAGAGAGAGAGAGAAGGAAGGGGAAGAGGAAAGATGGAGCAGAGAAGAGGACTGGGGGAGGGGTGAAGGGACAGAAGTGAGTAGGAAGAAAAGAGGGAAGAGGCAGAACTTACCGCAGAATAAGGAAGGCCATTTCCAAAAAAAAATGTATTCATAGAGCAGATAACGTACTGAAACTCTTAGAAACAATAACATGGTTTTATAGTCACTGCCCCTTCTGCTGGATAAAAAAACAACTGGATTCAAAGTCCCAATTCTGGCATTAACCTGAGTTCCATAGTCAACCGCGTGTCCAACCTCCTTTGATCGCAGTTCCTTCCTCTAAAATGTGATGATCCTAATACAGGTTTTTTCAAACCTGATCCTTCTGTGATTTAAAAGAGGCAGAACAGCATTGAGATGAAGACCTCAGGAGCTGAGGGTAGGCTCCTTCAATCTCTTCTCCACATGTGCCTTTTAAAAAGGCACCTAACATGTTTGTGCCTCAGTATCCTTGTCTACAATAGAAGGCGATAAGAATATCTATGTCATAAGATTCTAGTAAAGATTGGCAATATAAGCCGTGTATGCTATTATTAGCAGACATCTTTCGTCACATGTTCCAAGAGTCTTCATAGGCTAATCCATATGGGGGACTGTGGGTTTAACCATGTTTAATACCTGAATTTTGGTGTATGCTATTGTCAGCCATTTTATTGTCACACTAATTGGTATGTGTTCTTTCCACGTCTACGCATCACTGAGTCACGCGGAGGCATGTGCTTTTCCTTCTTTACAGAATCCCAGGTCAACTTTCTTTCCCAGTTGAACACGTGGTGGCTCCAACTATAGAAGGCAACCAGAGAATGAGGTCTGCTGTCCACGCCGAGAAACGCTGACTGAAGACTGAGGGTCCTTTCTTGGTTTCCACAACGTCAAGCTTTTTGCCTCCTAGATGTGACTGTCCATTTTACAACTCCTTCCACAACACGGTGTTCTCTCTACCCTTATCCCCCCACCTTGCCATGTCTACTCAAAAAGCTGTACGGTGCTCTTCAGTGAAACTCAAGCAATACAAACTAGCCCTGCTTCTCCATGTTTGTCCATGCTATCTTTTTTATTCACTATAAAAAATACAGTATTTTGTTTGGTAACTTCATGAAATGGGAAGGAGAAAGTTCTGTGTTTTAGTAGGGTTGAATCAAGTGACTAGCTAGGGAGAAAAAGATGCTATAAGAAGCAGATGGTTTAGCATTAAATAAGTCAAAGCTATTTCTCTGACTGTATTTTGATGAAAAGATAAATTTTTCTAAGCAAACTCACTAATTTTCCATTCATTGACTTTTGGCGACAAAGCCTAAGGGATTTCCATTTGCAGAAAGACACCAAACCTCTATGAAGGAGTAAGTGCCCAGAGGCAAGTTTACTTGCATGTGTTTTCTCTAAAGCTTTACAAAAGCAGGGTGATCTAAGGCCAGGACTTGAAATATCAGCACAGCCTACTTTATTCTTTTATATCTTCATTTTCCTCTTGGTAAGATCTTAGGTGAAGATATTACAGTGCTTGAGCTCTAGGTTCCCACTGTATGTATTCAAGTTCTTGCCTCACTACCTCTGTTTAGGGAGGGTTTCTTAACTCTATCTCCTTGCCTCAGTTTCTCTATCCCACCCTTTAATTGACCGTGGCATGTTGGTGAAGACCTCAGGATCAAGAACCTAGCAGCCTGGGTGAAATCACAGCTTGGCCACAGATGTGCAACCTTGAGCAACTTACCCAAGTTCCCTGTGGCCTGTCCCTCTTCTGAAAAGTAGAGGTGATAATAGTACCACCTCATAGATTGGTTATGAATGTTATGTGAAATGAAGAAGTAAGCACCTCTGACAGTGCCTGGCACACACAGGTGTTGAAGCTAGTAGCAGCCATGGGAAGTTGTACTAACAGTATTCAGCTATATGCCCTGGGCCCCAGGAATGCAGCAGCCTTACTGCAGCCCTAGCCTTCTGGCATATGAGACCCTGGATCCCCAGGGCCGCCCAGCAGGGACAGGAGGAATCCTCAGCCTGCAGATGCAGCTCTCGGAGTCACTGATTCAGCCATGAATCAGCCTCTGACACCTTTGGTTTAGTGCAGTGTTAAACCAAAGGCAGTCTCAGATGTAGTACTAAGCCTCAGTTTAGTGCAGTGTTAAACCAAATCAGCCTCAGATGTTGTACTAAGCCACATCAGCCTCAGATGTAGTACTAAGCCACATCAGCCTCAGTTAAGAACAGTGCTAAATCAAATCAGCCTCAGATGTAATACTAACCCACATCAGCCTCAGATATAGTACTAAGCCACATCAGCCTCAGATGTAGTACTAAGAATACATCAGCCTCAGTTTAGTGCAGTGCTAAACCAAATCAGCCTCAGATGCCTTAGGTTTAGTGCAGCTCAGTTCCAGGCCTGCTGAACTGAGCTCCAGGCCTGCTGAACTGAACCTTTAGCTCTTTCATGTCCCCCCAGTCTATGTGGCACTCATGGCCACACAGTCTCCTGGCTGGATTCTCTCCCTGAACCACAGACTGTTCAATCAGGCCCTGATAGCCACAGCCCTTACCAGTACTGGCTATGGTTTGCTGGCTGCAGCTCCCTCCACCTCCTGCCCCACAATCTCACAGTTGTCTGCAGCTACCTTTTTCATTCTTATCCTGGTTATTGTAGCTCTACTCCCATGTAGGGCAAAGTCTTCTCACTGTGCTCTGGGCTTTGGACCTCTTATTTCCTCTGGGACTTCATTTCATAAACCATGCTGTCTCTGGTTAACCTCTGGCTCCCCTGTGGCTTTGCTCATCTCTCTCTCAACTTCCAGAGGAAAAAGTCAACTCACACTTTTTGTTCTCCTCATTCATGGACCTGCATTTTCCTTTCTTTCTTTCTTTCAAATAGGGTAGCCTACATTTGGAGCATAACCCATTTATGCCTAGTGTTCCATTATTGGAATGCTAAGCTTGTAGGAGTTATTTATATCCTACTGCTCAAGGTCATCACCAAGGTCTGATTTTACACACACACACACACACACACACTTGCAACCTCTGGCATAAATGGGTTGATTTCCTACTATTTAGTCTTGCACGTAAATGCATTACGGTTTCTGCTCTCTCCACATTTATGAGACTGCTATGTTAGAATTCCTGACAATGAAAAGCAAAAAGGAGGATTTGGGCTCAGTCCTAGATACTACCGAGTGGTCTAGAGTAGGGTAGGGTATTCTGGGAGAGAAGAACTTTTACATACAGACTCATTCTTCTCTCCTCATCAAAATCTTTCAGCCTGGGAGGGTTAGCATTAAGAGTAATACCTAATGTAGATGACAGGTTGATGGGTGCGGCAAACCACCATGGCACGTGTATACCTACGTAACAAACCTGCACATTCTGCACATGTATCCCAGAACTTAAAGTATAATTTTTAAAAAGATCTTTCAGCCAGAGCCACATGGGTCAATAGGTTCTACATCTCACTCTTACACAATCCTGATATTCCACACCCTGACACATCTTCATCTCCCTCTTATATCATCCCCTTTTTGACTTCATGATCTCCCTGAACACCTGGACACCCAGGTAAACGCCATTAACACCACTCATGCAATTGGGTGAAGCCCCAATTTTGTCTCCTTAACCATCTCTCAGCAATGTCTCCTTGATCTCCAGAACAAAACTTTACTTTGTTAGAATGTCTAGGTATAAAGACCCAATGAGTCATCGGAAACGTTCATCTGTAACTCTTAAGAGAAGAAAAATAATTGGTAGTCCTATGCAAAAAAGTGAAATGTGCTCTCTTCATGCCTTTTCTCCCCTCACTCTTTCATCTTTGTTGTGGTCCGCATTCTTCCTCTCTAACTTTTGCATAACTTTAAAAGGTGCTTTACTTAGGGATCTATTACAAATTATTCTGCTGAATCATGATAAAATAGACTTTGCTTTGGGGATGGCTCCAAGTAAATCCTCAAGGTTGCAGCT